GTTGCAGAATCTGTGATGAGAGTGACGGACACCGCCTTGACCACTATCTACGTGACTGTGAACACCTGAGAGACATTAGAAATGTGTAGAATAATAAACCCCACATTGTTTTAGTTAGGAAAACACTATTTGTCAAATATTGTTACCGTTCTTAAAAGATTTCCCCCATTTTGCACCCGCAAGATAAGATTTTAGATTAAGATTTTAAGGGTTGGCAGATGTTAATCTTGTTTGAGGAGCTGTTCACTTGAGACAGTTAAGCAAGTCCCAGCTGTGTCTGGGTACAAGTGACAGGATGAACAACCCAGCGGGTTTCTTCCTATTGGGAGGTGCTGTACATGCTGTTATGGCGGTATGACCACTCACAGAATGAGTGACGCTGCCCAATAAACTCGCCCCTCAGGGCAAAATTTAAAAATTTAAGTAGACAATCGCGCTTGCCAGAGACAATCAATCTCCCTTCGATACTCTATCCACGAATTTATATGAAATAATGAAAGTGCAATAGGAAGTCGCACAATTGATAGGGGGGTAGGGGGTAGGCAAATAGGTAAGACACCTCCCCCCCCAAACACGAATGGGTAAACACACCCACAAGAAAAAGCTAATTGACAGTGTTCAGAGCTTTACCACAAGCCTACTTCAAGAACTGCGTCCTGGGCTACGACGACACCTCAGGAGTTAAACTTAACTCAGAAGACTTACCAGCACTGGAGCAGAGGACACGAGAGAGCGCTGGTGAGCAGGTTGAATATACGTTTCAAATGTAGATGTGACGAAGCACAAGAGAGCAGGCAGCTGCAAGCACCAGGCCACCAATATTTTTTAAAGAGAGACCAGGAGCTCTGTTTCTCCCTCTCACCACAGAGACACAGAGAGAGACGGAGCCAGAGAGAGAGAGAGGGGGAGACAGTACAGAGAGCGACTGGGCGTTTGAGCGCTCGGGTGCATGAGCCGTGGACATTACCTGTCGTGTCAGTGTTATGTCTAGTGTTGGCGAGGTGTACCCCACCTTGCCCCATGCCCCCTTCCCCACCTAGTCATGCCATTTCTCCGCTACTCTCGCAACACCGCCCTTCACTACTGGCTGGTGCACGCAACACCGCCCTTCACTACTGGCTGGTGCACGCAACACCGCCCCTCACTACTGGCTGGTGCACGCAACACCGCCCCTCACTACTGGCTGGTGCACGCAACACCGCCCCTCACTACTGGCTGGTGCACGCAACACCGCTCCTCACTACTGGCTGGTGCACGCAACACCGCTCCTCACTACTGGCTGGTGCACGCAACACCGCCCCTCACTACTGGCTGGTGCACGCAACACCGCCCCTCACTACTGGCTGGTGCACGCAACACCGCCCCTCACTACTGGCTGGTGCACGCAACACCGCCCCTCACTACTGGCTGGTGCACGCAACACCGCCCCTCACTACTGGCTGGTGCACGCAACACCGCCCCTCACTACTGGCTGGTGCACGCAACACCACTACAAGAGCGCGCGCAACACTATGCTTCTTGCCCTTCTCATACTTGAGAATCCTCTTATACACTTTCGCTTGTGTATATATAATAATTATAATCACATTATCATTGCAATAAAGAAATCACATTAACGTAATGTATCAGTGAGACAATCGGTAGCAGCCATGATGAGGACTCGAACCTGCGCGCGCGCGCACACACACACACACACACAGAAGGTGGTGGAGGCCAAGACCGTCAGTAGTTTCAAAGCGTTATATGACAAAGAGTGCTGGGAAGACGGGACACCACGAGCGTAGCTCATCCTGTAACTACACTTAGGTAATTACACTTAGGTAATTACACACACACACACACACACACACACACACACACACACACACACACACACACCCCGAACAACTCTGCCTAATGCTATTTTTTGTAGAACCATTACCTGATATCATGTTATTCGTTATTGTTTGTAACAAATGTTTGTCTGTTAGACAAGCGTGCTTGACCTTGTCCTGGTGAGGATTTTTAAGAGGAAAGAGAAATAATTGCAGACGGGACGACAGTCTACAGTAAACTAAAAGGTGAACTATATGGAGTTCAGCCCAAGACTAGGAGAGAGAGAGGGTAAGTCATGGTGGCTCAGTCTGGGTGTGGACTCATAATAACGGGACAGTTCTGAGCCGTATACCCAATAGTATGACGTTGAGCCCCTTCTCCATATGGAGAAGGGGCTCAATATGGAGAATGAGCTCCTTCTCCATATGGAGAAGGGGCTCATTACCGGGTGACTCTCCGGTGTGAGCGCCGCTGGTGTTAGTAGTTCAGGTGGTGAAGGAAGGATATTATATTATATTATTGTTTGATTTTTATTTTATCAGCGGCTCCCTGACGAGGTGAAAGCCCAGGGTAAAATTGGATGACATCAGAGAACAAATCCACAAGGGCCGTGACGAGGATTCGAACCTGCGTCCGGGAGCATCCCAGACGCTGCCTTGATCGACTCATTTGATGCATCACGTTAGTGTGATCTCTGTGTGTAATGACATCAGGGGTTTACCTGTTACCCCAATACTTGCTAGTTTTTCCCTAAAAGACGACGCGGAAATCTATTTACAACCAACTCCCCCCAATTACTGCTGGGTAAACAGGGGGTCATCAAGTTATGGATCGGTGCTCAGTCTGTCCAACCTATCCATGGCTCGAACCCTGTCCGATTAGTTGTTTTCTCTGTTCTGCTACTGACAAAGCCCGTCCTCGTCAACAAAGCGCAAAAGTGATTACTTACAGCCTTGTTGTTTCAGATTTAACTACTCAGAACGAAGTGTCCATGTAGCACGGGCTATGGTGAGCCCGTAACACTTACAGCCGTCAAACCCTCTATTTATAAATGAAAAACGTTGTACACACGACCTACGGCTAATGACGTTCGAACATTTCTCGAACAGTGGGTCGCTGATTACCTCAGTTCGAATCTCAACGTTGTGAGATTCACTCACGTACTTCAATCACAAATAATCGCCAACAGGACCTAAACAACTAACCTGTCCTACGCCTAACTATACACAGAATTTTAATATATATTAACTTACAGAACAATTCTATTTTTAATATATTATGTAAAAATGGATGAATGCATCTTGGGGGGGGGGGGCGGCCGCCCCTTTAACGAGCCTGGCCTGAGGACGGGACGCTCTGTAACACTTTCCACCACCGCCCACGGAATGGATATGGGGTGCATAATAAATGACCAAAGAAATTTAAACGTTGGCTGGAATGAACATAGACTGAATAGGAGTTATAATGGCATTGGTCAGTATTCTTATGTATTATAGTTAAGCGGAAGCGTGAGACACAGGCAACACAAGACCCCAAGAACTTGATTTAAATTCCTATAGGCCCAATAGGCAAACACAAACTACTGAAAGTGTAGATGAAGAAAGATATGAGAGGTATACTCTTGGAACCGGAGTGTGAGCCAGCAGTAGTGTGGCCTCCTTCATGGTCCTCGGCCTCGACTAACGGGTCACCTACACCTGGCAACAGGAGTCTTCCTCGGCAGGGTCCACGACCTCCCACCCTTCCCACCAACTGCCTCTCTCACACACACACACACACACACACACACACACACACACACACACACACACACACACACACACACACACACACACACACACACACACACACACACTCCCAACACCATGAAAATGCGTAGGTAACATGTCTCTAAACTTGTTGGTTTACAGCGATACTCGCGCGGCTCTGAGGTTGCGACAGGCGGGGTTGTGAGCGTGTGCCAAGGCCTGTGTTCTCTCATCTCACAATGGATTTACATGGTGAATAACCTACATGCTTATCAGTGACATTACTTCAACTGTTGACACGGTAGGAAGTGCTGATTAACCAACGGGTCTAGGTCACAACTCCATTAAAAAAGATGCAGCAAGCACTAGTACAGGTAGACACTTTACATCCTGCCCAAGAAAAGTGAAGGGATGAAAAAAGAAGTTTGAAGCAGAAACACGAGGGAAGGTTAGCAGGAAGACTAACGCAAGCAGCAAGGGCGAGACCGTGAGTCTGTCTGTACTTGATCATTACCACCGCCCAACAGGTCAACAGCTCCCCCCACCACAGCGGTAGCAGCCACACCAAACACTGCCCCCATCCACAGTGATTACACTCTGTGCACCCTCGCATCTCTTTAGTCCCCAACCTCAAGGTTGATGCTCATAGATTCCAAGCTGCAATTCCCACACACAAATGAAGCCCCAACAAACTAGCCGAATAAAAACATGCAAGACATCGCCCACCACCCACTCGAGAGCAGTGACAGACCGCCCCCCACTCCCCCTTACACCAACGGCCACCCTCGCCACCTCGCCACATGTGGAGAGAGTCGCACTTCCCTCATCAGGCAACGTTCGGTATTGCACAGGAAAAAAAAAAGCTGCTGCCTCGAGTGACATTACAGTCTTCAACACCGGAACAGTGTGTCTAAGAGTGTCATCATCTGGACATCCTGCCAGGAAACAGAACTGATACATCTAATTGCAAAACAGTCAGAACTGTCGACCGTTGTTGACAAAGTAAGGATGTGGCGACTCGAGTAGACCAAACACGGAGAGAGGGAAAACAAGTGAAGGTGATCAATGGCCAGAATGTGCGTAATAAACACAAAACTGTAGCTGGGGTAAAAGTGGTCTTTACATAGCACAGCTTAAATCGTAATCAAATTAGTGACATCTTGATAAAAACAAAGAATAATGATAGAATAATATGGACACGATTTAAATAAAAGTTCTTGAAATTCATACATAAAATTTAGAGTAATTTTAACAATGACTACATTTTAAAGCTTTTGAGTCCATAAGACTGCCGTTGCCTAGCCTTCCCCCATCGCTAAATTCACTTATTAAACTACAATGAAGCAAACACCAGACAAAAATGGCCACACCTTCCGCAGTAACTACACTTAACGGAACAAAATTTATTAATCAATAGAAAAATCTTGCATGGTTTACCTTTGGCGCTGTCAAGCTGGTTGTTATTAAGGACATCACTGTTGGTGCTACTGGTGGTGGAATGGTGACGGTGCGGGTAGTGTTGGAGGCGGCGGTGGAGCACGCCATCAATACCATACTCGTCGTCTTCTTCCTCCTCCTCCAGTGTCCCTAAGCCTCCGCCAGGTTCTTCTGCTGTCCTGTGCACCCCCATGGTGAGCTCTTCTTGTCAGGATGGTGGCGGTGAGGTAGGACAAGCGCGAGAGCTTATAGCCTGTTGCTTGTCTCCCAGCAGTTGGATGATAGTGGCGGTTATGGTGAAAAAGTCTTCCACTGAGGTACAAGTGTTGTCCGCGCCGTCAGTAAATTCTGTGGCGGTAGCAATAACAGCTGGGGGAATAGTGGTGGTGGTGGATGTCTGGGTGGGTCATCAAACACTCTCACCAGAGAACACCAGACTGTGTGGCCACCACAGCGCCGCCTCCTGTGCTGTCTGTCACACCGCTCTGCTCCTGTGTTGCTGCTCTTGCTCCTCTGAAGGGATCAAGATTTCTAAACTTCACTGTCCAGGAACTGTATCTTTTTAAAGTTATTTGAAGTCAGTATCGTATATGACTAGTTCTTATATATTTGTAATAAATATTAAAACCTGAGAAATAAACAAAAAAATATGAACAATTGGTGTTATGCCATATGCCAATTACAGTAGCGTCGTCAAGAGTGAACTAGGTAATCCTGCTACAGTGTTCATTAATAGTAAAGTTTGCTATACGTTTAAAGCGCCCAGTAACACCTGTGCTATATACTCTCGCCTCTACCACACTAACTCTCCCAACAGTTACGCTCCCTACCCAGGCCCTCAAGCTCGTTACAGTCATCACTAATGTATATAAACACGGGCGAGGCCCAATTAAGAGGAAGACTAGAGTGTAAGAGAAGGTTTATTAAGCAGTGAGAGTGACCCTGACTGGGCGAGTAAGCTAAACACCCATGACATGACCCTAGGTATCCTCGGCTCAAGCGCTGGTCAGGGCGGCCTCCCTACATGACCCTACACCAGATATTGACCAGTTGTCACTAACGAGGGCAAGCAGGTAACGACAGAGGGGAACCATATGTCACGGGCGGGTCGCTGTGTAACTGTACGTGAGCCGTTCTCTGCCACCCGCACAAGGAACTGTGCCGAGAAAGTGGGTCATCTGGGAGCAGCGGCGCCCGTCCACCGTTGCTCGCAGGGCTGCCACGAGCACCCGGCCTTCACTTTTTCCCACCCACTCTTTACACCTTTCAACTACCCGTGGTCGCTACTCCTGCCTCCCACACCCCTAACGCACCCTCCTCTCTTCCTAGCCCACACTCGGGAGAAAAGTGTGCGGGGTAATTATTTATACTTGTGGGGAGAAACGGCTAAAACATGCCAGCTATGTGGGGGAGAGAGAGAGAGAGATGGTGGTGGTGGTGGTGAGGTGTGGGCCGTCAGTCGCCTTGCTGGCTGCTGCTGCCTCCCGCACCCCCTCAGCCCATCACCACTCTCTCCTCTTGCACAACCTCATACCTACACCATTATCTCACATTTCACTATATCTCCGCCTATTGACCGTTGTTAATGCCTCGTAGCTATTAACAGACCCACCATCTACATCAGCTGAGCACGCCTGGCACCGTAGTGCAATAGGGAAATATTACCAACACAAACTCGTATGTTCAATGTTCACTCTCACCCTTGGCGTTCTTGAACAGTCAATTTCCCAAAATTCACTTAAACAATTCACTCAAATAATGCAAAGATCCATTGCACTAAAAAGCCGTAACCACATTTTTTGCATGTAGGGAGCACTTTAAAAATTGTCCTCACCAAACAGTCTGTAAGGTGACAATGTGGAAAAATAGCTACACAGTCCCGTCACTCTACAGTACACATTTTACAATTTCCACGCGAAAACGGTATGTTTTTCCTCGTCCAGAAAAGTCTGCCACCGTCAACATGCATGCCACGTCTGCACCCGCCATTCGGTACACAGGCTGGATCGGGCACTCTGCCGTCTCTCTCCCATTCGCTGGGCCCGCTCCAGCGTGCTGAATGATGCCTTCGCATCCCATGCTATCACTCCCAAACATTATACTCGAAGATAATCCACTGACACAGCTCGTACATTGAGGTAAAGCGAGCCGTATGGAAGGCGGAGGGTCCGCGCACAAGTACCACGGAGCGATCAGCTGACTACTGACTGAAACAGCTGAGTGTCACAACACGACCACCTGATACGGCACGCAGTTGCCAAGTCCCACATTTTCTCTCGAGGCAAACTCCACCCACAGTTGGGTGCAGACGCCATGAACGACATATTGTTAATTATTGTCGTGTTTATACACAGTTGTAAGCCTTGTTGGTAAGCTCAGAGTAGACGTGGTACGTGATCTTGAAAATGTATTAGTATAAAATATGTTTGTTGCGTGGGTTGGATTATTGATCTTGCGAACATTGCTTGTATAAACGTATGCATGAACGTTATATACACTGTGGTGTGCGAACGTATACAATAGGTGCATGAACGTTATGCACTATGTGCATGTACGTGCCCAGTGTGTGTTTATGAACGTATGAACGTATGTGCACGAATGTATGGGATATGTACAGAAAGTATACAAGAGTTGTTCATAAATATACACAGGCCCTGTACACGAACGTATACACGAAATGTACATGAACGCTTTTGTTGAAGAAGTGTTATTTCCTGCAGACTCATAAACAAAAGTGTAGGTGCTATATAATGAACTTGTCTGTCTTTATTGACGGGTTAACTACATCTATTTTAATTAGAAATAAACGAACTTTTTCTGAACTACACCTGGACTTGCGTGGTTATTTTTGGAGACGGTATTATCGTAACAGTAATATTTGGCACACACACCAAGGAGGAACAATGTACCCACAAGATACAGGATTAGGAAAGTCTCCTTTCATTTACCTCACTTCTCTTATTTGGGAAGACCTAATGTTTTTTAATGTTATAAACATTACCTAATGTTTTTACCTCCAACACCTGCATATGTTAGCCTCCTTCCCTACATTCTCTTCCCCCTCTCAACTCTCTTGCTAGCTAGCTCCTCCCCTCTCTCTCTCCTTCCCTACACTCTCTTCCCCCTCTCAACTCTCTTGCTAGCTAGCTCCTCCCCCACACTCTCTCTCTCTCTCTCTCTCTCTCTCTCTCTCTCTCTCTCTCTCTCTCTCTCTCTCTCTCATCCCTACTAGCCGGATAAACTATGTCCAAGCATCAGTATTCCACACGGGAGACATCTCCCGTCACGCAGGGTGCAGTCGCACCTCCACAGATCTCCAAATATCATCTATTGATAATGGCAATGACTCAAAAGGGCCACCACCATTTACGGGCTATTCATGCCCGTGCCACCTTTCGGGTGGCTTAATATTCATCAATCAATCATCAATATTCCAGTAGCATTCCTATGTGTGTGCAAGTCGTTCTCTTACTCCAGTCAGTGGTTGGCGGGCTTGCGAGTCGCGCCGGCAGCTTCCGTGACACGGGCTGTCATTAGACGATGGCAGACTCCTCTCGGCAGCACGAATATGGTGGACAAATTGGCCAGCCGCACTTGTGCACTCCATGCTAGCTATCATCGACATGATCTCAATTCTACTTTCACTTCGACTGCTACGTCCTGCTGGAGAAAGTCGCCCCCTCTCACCCTCCTACCATTGTTTGGAGCTCACCGCCCACCCATTAGTGCGTTTACATTGCCTAGTGGGCTGTTTTACGATAAGATAAACGAATTTATTTAATACATTCATCTGAAATTGAGAGTTCGTGTAAGGTTCAGACTTTGTTGCACAGTGTAGGCTGCAATAATTCTGTGTTTCACGTCCGGTTCGTGTTTTTTTTACACAAATTACTTATATACGCTTTGGCATTTGGGTGATGCCATTTACATATTTTATTATATGAATTTAATAAAAAACAAACAATCATTTAAATACAAAAGCAGGTTTTTAAATAAGTTTCCCCACATTGATATGAACAGAAAATGAATATCTATTTAGAAAACGAGCAGTATTTATTTCAGGGTATGCTATAGAATAAACGTAACCGCCTCTCTCTCCAGGTGAAAGGATGCTTTTATGAGTTAATATCACGCAATACACTTGTAAAAACAATAACAAAATAATAAACAAACATTTTAGTGCCATGTATTGAGCGGTTTCAAGATACGGGAGCGTATTACATGTACATAACTCCAATGTACACACGATAGATTGTAACAAATTTTCACAATTGGCTGAAAACCTTGAGGATCTGGCCTCTGATGCAATAGACGTAACGTGCATGAACGTACGTAGGTGACCTAGATATCGTTCACTTCCATGTGCGTAGCTGACCTACTTATTATGCTCACGTTTGTGCTGATATTCTTGGCTAACAGACACACTAACTGTAGCAGGCCGAAACATATATATCACTTATAGAGAAGAATAATTCACGGGAGACATCTCCCGTCACGCAGGGTGCAGTCGCACCTCCACAGATCTCCAGTATCATCTATTGATACTGGTAATGGCTCAAAAAGGGCCACCACCACTTACGGGCTATTCATGCCCGTGCCATCTTTTGGGTGGCTTAATCTTCATCAATCAAGAATATTTACTGTCATTCCTGTTGTGTGTTTCCCATGAAATGTTCAGAATTATTAATGGAAATCTTGCTAAGTTATTTGGCGAGAGGAGTGTTATGTTAAACACGTTACAATATCAAAAGAAGCCTTGTATAAATATTATTTTGTATTGTTAATAGGGGAATGTTACGCCAAATGCGCTAGGAATTATCAACAGTATCTTTTTGTCAAAACTTAATGTATTTCTATGAGTGGAATGATACATATCTTAAGTGCAATCAAGAGTGTCTTCACGTGTTAGTAATAAGAGTGGAGGAGCAGGCAATTGTCTTACATCAGGAGAGGAATATGTGTGTCAACCAGACTGGTCTGGAATGTGAGTGATGCAAAGATTGGTTTCCCTGGTGCCTACCTTGTGTGACGCCCCTCCTGGTGCCTACCTTGTGTGACGCCCCTCCTGGTGCCTACCTTGTGTGACGCCCCTCCTGGTGCCTACCTTGTGTGACGCCCCTCCTGGTGCCTACCTTGTGTGACGCCCCTCCTGGTGCCTACCTTGTGTGACGCCCCTCCTGGTGCCTACCTTGTGTGACGCCCCTCCTGGTGCCTACCTTGTGTGACGCCCCTCCTGGTGCCTACCTTGTGTGACGCCCTCCTGGTGCCTACCTTGTGTGACGCCCTCCTGGTGCCTACCTTGTGTGACGCCCCTCCTGGTGCCTACCTTGTGTGACGCCCTCCTGGTGCCTACCTTGTGTGACGCCCTCCTGGTGCCTACCTTGTGTGACGCCCTCCTGGTGCCTACCTTGTGTGACGCCCCTCCTGGTGCCTACCTTGTGTGACGCCCCTCCTGGTGCCTACCTTGTGTGACGCCCCTCCTGGTGCCTACCTTGTGTGACGCCCCTCCTGGTGCCTACCTTGTGTGACGCCCTCCTGGTGCCTACCTTGTGTGACGCCCTCCTGGTGCCTACCTTGTGTGACGCCCCTCCTGGTGCCTACCTTGTGTGACGCCCCTCCTGGTGCCTACCTTGTGTGACGCCCCTCCTGGTGCCTACCTTGTGTGACGCCCCTCCTGGTACCTACCTTGTGTGACGCCCTCCTGGTGCCTCCTACCTTGTGTGACGCCCTCCTGGTGCCTACTTTGTGTGACGCCCTCCTGGTGCCTCCTACCTTGTGTGACGCCCTCCTGGTGCCTACCTTGTGTGACGCCCTCCTGGTGCCTACCTTGTGTGACGCCCTCCTGGTGCCTACCTTGTGTGACGCCCTCCTGGTGCCTACCTTGTGTGACGCCCCTCCTGGTGCCTACCTTGTGTGACGCCCTCCTGGCGCCTACCTTGTGTGATGCCCTCCTGGTGCCTACCTTGTGTGACGCCCCTCCTGGTGCCTACCTTGTGTGACGCCCTCCTGGTGCCTACCTTGTGTGACGCCCCTCCTGGTCCCTACCTTGTGTGACGCCCTCCTGGTGCCTACCTTGTGTAACGCCCTCCTGGTGCCTACCTTGTGTGACGCCCTCCTGGTGCCTACCTTGTGTAACGCCCTCCTGGTGCCTACCTTGTGTGACGCCCTCCTGGTGCCTACCTTGTGTGACGCCCTCCTGGTGCCTACCTTGTGTAACGCCCTCCTGGTGCCTACCTTGTGTGACGCCCTACTGGTCCTTACCTTGTGTGACGCCCTCCTGGTGCCTACCTTGTGTGACGCCCTCCTGGTGCCTACCTTGTGTGACGCCCCTCCTGGTGCCTACCTTGTGTGACGCCCTCCTGGTGCCTACCTTGTGTGACGCCCTCCTGGTGCCTACCTTGTGTAACGCCCTCCTGGTGCCTACCTTGTGTGACGCCCTCCTGGTGCCTACCTTGTGTGACGCCCTCCTGGTGCCTACCTTGTGTAACGCCCTCCTGGTGCCTACCTTGTGTGACGCCCTCCTGGTGCCTACCTTGTGTGACGCCCTCCTGGTGCCTACCTTGTGTGACGCCCTCCTGGTGCCTACCTTGTGTGACGCCCTACTGGTCCTTACCTTGTGTGACGCCCTCCTGGTGCCTACCTTGTGTGACGCCCTACTGGTCCTTACCTTGTGTGACGCCCTCCTGGTGCCTAACTTTATGTTCTCATCACTACACAAGTCTAGTGCGGCTGCCATATTGGACAAGGGAGGCAAGTTTAGGTAAACCCAGTTAGCTGTTTGACTGTGTAATAATATTAATTATTATTACCATTGATATAGGTGAGAGGAACCGCTCTGTGCACATGTATCTATGTTGTGTTAATACATGTATGTGGTACATGACCCCCTGCCCTCTGCTGGACCACCTAGTAGTAACTAGACCAGTTACTGGCTAGTCACAATGTTGCGATATATATATATATATATATATATATATATATATATATATATATATATATATATATATATATATATATATATATGTCGTACCTAGTAGCCAGAACGCACTTTTCAGCCTACTATGCAAGGCCCGATTTGCCTAATAAGCCAAGTTTTCATGAATTAATGTTTTTTTCGACTACCTAACCTACCTAACCTAACCTAACTTTTTCGGCTACCTAACCCAACCTAACCTATGAACATAGGTTAGGTTAGGTTAGGTAGGGTTGGTTAGGTTCGGTCATATATCTACGTTAATTTTAACTCCAATAAAAAAAAATTGACCTCATACATAATGAAATGG